TCGGTAGAGGGAGAGCGAGGCTCGGGGAGCCCGGCGCTCAGGGGCTCGGTGGGTGAGCTGGGATACAGCCCTGTGGGATCTGTGTGATACTTCGCCTTTCCTGCAGGCACCGAGCTCTCATCGCCTGAATAGTTCCAGGCTCACCCCACTTGCCGTTGGAAGCTGTGTGGCTTGGCAGCCCTTCATCCCCAAGCGGACTGAGAGCCGTTTGATCAGATCCGAGTCATTCCGGTGCTCATGCCCGGTGTAGCAGTGTAGCAATATGGTGCTGATGTTGCAGCAGAACAGACAGAGCGAACAGCAGTTCAGAAACCGGTCATTCCTTCTGAAAATATGTGATGAGAATCCACAGTCATGGAAAAATCTGGTATCATGAGAATGTCACAATGTGTAGCCCTGCCATGGAACCTAATGCTGCCTCATCTGCAAGGCAGTGGTGCAGTCAGGGTTCAAACTCTGTTTCTGAGAATTGTGAAATAGTGATTAGCAGTCCCTCAACTGCAGTGTATCTGTAATGATGAGATGCTGCTGCTCTGATGATTTCCTACCTTTGGATGAGGCAGGGCTCTGTTCTGGCAAATTCTGAAGGTGCACAGTAGAGAGCCTTACTAGGCAAATACCTCTACAATAACCTCTAGTGCATACCTGGCATTTGACTTCCTGGTGCATTGGCCCTTTTCCCAGGACAGCATTTGGCCTTCAGAACAATTTGTCTTGCTTGCAGTTCACTCAAGTGCTTTCTGACTGTTCCTGGAACAGTCAGGGCAGGAGCAGGATGTATGAAATGTTCTAAGTCAGCCTGGCTACTTACTGCTCTCTGATATGGGGATTCCTCAGATAGGAGCAGGAATATGCCTACATATCTGTTGAGCAGGATTCTTTCCTGCATTTTTATTCTGTCATAGTCCCCATCCCAAGTTGGAGACATTCTCACTTGTGTTTTTATCTGTAAAATAGATCATATACTTTCAGTTGATCTGTGAATGTTTCTCACAGTAACTTGGATGAAATCTACTTTGTTCTGCAGATCAATCTTACTGAAAAGAACATTAACAGCTTATTATTTTTTACCAGAATACAAACTAATTATAGCTGTACTTATATTAAATCTATAAAGCTGTCTCTTCTGTTGTGTATGTGTTGTTTTTATTTTTAAGGCAGCTGAGAATGGAGCAGTGGCTGTTGAGTTCGATCTTGAATTTACTGCAGATGGTGTTCCCATTCTCATGCATGATGATACAGTAGACAGGACAACTGATGGGTCTGGAAGATTGTGTGACCTAACTTTTGATGAAATAAGGAGGCTTAATCCATCTGCAAAGCATAAGCTACGGTAAACGAGTTGCTGCTATTCTGAAACTACTGTTTCAACAGTGAAAAAAAACTGTCTTGATAACAATTTTTTGTTTGATCTATCACTGATGAAAATGTTTGTAAATTTAAAAATTAGAGTCCCATAACTTCTCGTTTGGTTTTAGAAGTGTATGAGACTGTGTCAACTTTCCTATCCTTGCAATAGGGACAGTGAAGCAAAGATAATTGGCTTCCAAGGCCAAACTCCACAGGTACCTAGTGTGAAACAGGTTGATCTCTACATAAGCTTCCCCTAAACTGACTGCAGGACCCTAAAGATACTGGGAGTTCCTTACGTTTCTGAGATGCACTAGGGATTTCCAGACTTGTAAATGATCCACCTGTGAGTCTGTGGTACAAGTAGCATCTTCTCAGGCTGTTACTGGAAAGGTGATAACCTGAACCACTCAGCAAGAGCTCCCACATAGGCAGTTACTGCTGATCAGCTGTTGTTTTCTGTCACCTTATCAGGAATAATTTATTCATGTGTGAAGCTGCCTCTGCATGCTCAAGTTTGTCTTGCTTGTTCTGCCAGGATCTGCATGTCTGGCTCAGGCTGAGGGAGTGCAGTCAAAGCAGGGGGAAGTGGGTGGGTAGGTGGTCAGCAGTTGGGACCAAATGTCTATTTGTGAGAGTCCAGGAAGGAGGTGAAGAACTGAGGGTAGTGGTAAGTGTGGGACACAGGGTCAGAGAGAGTCAGATTAGACCTTGAATTTGGAAGGATACAACTGTCCAGTGGCATTCTGAGGGAAGAAATGTGCACATGTCCCTCTACACATACAGCCTTTTACAGGGTGGGAGCCACCACTGCCATTGCTAGTGGTGCTTGGTCCCACCTCTAATACTAGTGTGTCAGTAAACTCTGTTTAGGAATCTCTAGGAAATGGCTTTGCATAGTTGGGGATGTGTGCCTGTGCACATGTCTATCTTAACTGCATTCCAGTGAGGAGTTCTCCATTTCTGCAGGAGCAAATTCCAGGGTGAAAAGGTACCAACTCTGAGAGAAGCTGTTGTGGAGTCTATGCATCACAATCTTATCATCTACTTCGATGTCAAAGGCCATGCAAATCAGGTACCACTTACTGTACTGAGACACCTTCCTTTACCCTCTCTTTGGGTTTCTAACCTGCTTTTCTGCTGTTCTCAAACTGGTCTGTGTGGTACAGACCCTTCTCTAATCTCAGTGAAACTGGGTCTGTTATTTGTGTCATCGAGTTGGGCTGTCAGAGCAGAGACAACTTCTTCCCTCGTCCCATTCCATCGTCCTGGGAAGCTGCAACTTAAAATTAACAGGAGACTTGTATGAGTTTGAGTTCACCTCAGCACCATCATGAAACAAGGTGAAGTGAGTTCCCTGCCTGTGCTGAGGGGGGTTAGTATCTCATCTTCAGCCTCCAACTAGAGATCCCACTTGTCTGTAATTTGCATTGCTAACGGCAGATACACAGGATCAGTCAGTAACATTTATGCAAATTGGAGTATTTTTTCTTTAGCATAGCAAAATATGGAAATAAATTAATTTTTCCCCTTGAATTAAGCTCTAGGTAGTACTTAAGAACTTTATCCACAATATATTTAAGGGTATTTCAAACACTGAGAATGCTACTCGTTGCTGCAAACAGAATCTGTTGTGGAAAACAGAAGTAATTTCTGTGTTAATGGTATAAACGAGGTGCTGGTTTTTTTCTCCCCTCGTTCCCTCTCAATCCTGCTACATGAAACAGGCAAGTATTTTTAAAGGGGATTATTCTAAAATGACTTTGCAGTGCTGAGTAAATCCAAGTGTATGTATAAATATAACATGAGTCTATCTCTGATTGGCAGGCAGTTGACGCCCTGAAAAAACTCTACATGGAATTTCCTCGTTTGTACAACAGCAGCATAGTCTGTTCTTTCATGCCAGATGTTGTTTATAAGGTGATGTTTCCTAAAAGTTTATTTTGGATTATTTTAATTGTGTCTGGGAATTTCAGTAAGATATACAACTCCTAGTTCCACGTTACTTCTGGATTGGTAAAATTGCTGGGACATTTACAAACAAATGAAGCATAATGCATTATCTCATTCATCACTGTGCTCATTGGATGCACAGATGAATCTACAGCAATTTCCTCCATTCTGAAAGATATGTAGAAAAAAGTCTGTAGCTGTTACAGTCGGCATGTGGCCAAGTACCTGTGTGCAAGGTACCTGTTAAAGTAAACCTCGTATTCTGATGCAAATGTGGACTGTTCTTAAAACTTGTTTTCCTCATACTCATTGCCAAGTCCATTTACTATGTATTTTATTCCATTGCCCAAGTGTTATGCAGGTTTTTTAACATAAAAGTAGTTGGTTATTCAGTATGTTTTAAATAAAAAAAATAGTAAAATATAATCAATAGCTTTCTAAAAAAATTACAAAAGGATCTGGAGGGAGGAGGGAAGGATCCTGGTAGAGCTGCAGATGCAAGCTAGCACTTTGTATCTGGCTGCTCCTGATTTCTATTCAAAGCAGCTTGGCTTTTGTATGAATTACAGTCTTTTTTTCCTCTATCTTCTAGATGAGAAAAGCTGACAGAAATGTTGTAACAGCACTAACACACAGGCCTTGGAATCTGAGTCATTTAGGAGATGGGACACCCCGTTTCAGCTCCTTGTGGAAACATTACTGGTATATGATGATGGATGTCATTATAGACTGGAGCCTACACACCTTCTTGTGGCGGTTGTGTGGGGTTTCAGCTTTCCTCACACACAAAAATTTTGTTTCTCAGTAAGTGTCTAAGCTTGCTAATATATTAGGAAGCAATATCATCCTATTAGTATATAAGGGTGGAGTTAACATAGTGTATGTTAATTAGTGTTCCGTTTAGTGTTCTGTAAACTTGTTATGGTGATGGTGTCTTTGTTCCTTGCAGGGAGTACGTGAGGTACTGGTCTTCAAAAGGAATTCAAGTGGTCGTCTGGACAGTGAACACATTCGCTGAAAAAAACTACTGTGAAACCATCCTTGAATCCAGCTACATCACTGACAGCTTGGTGGAAGACTGTGATTCTCATTACTAGCCTGGTGCTCTGCAGACACCCACCAGCCACAAAAAGCCATCTTACTTGGGCAGGTCTGAGTATTCACCATCAAGGTTACCCATGGGTGCAGACAGGACTGTTGAGCATTGTTCTGAGGAACTAAAAGCTGTATTTCACATGTGCTATATGATCAGATCTCAAATGCAGAAAACCCCTCTGCTGCAGCCTGAGGTACAGCCATTCATTCACAGCCTGAGCTCACACTGCCTTGTAAAAGGGTCAGATTTGACAAGCTCATGGGGCAAGATGCTGGATGTGCAGGTTGCTTTAGAAACCTCAGACTATGCCTTTGCTTTAAATCTTTGGTTTAAGGTCCCATCAACAATTTTTTGTGTCAAAATTTAAAAGAATACTTTGATTTTAGTAATTGAAATAGTCTGTTCTACAACTGCATAATTAATGTCGATTTATGGCATCTTAAAAACATCTACATTACTATTTTGAAAAACGATCTGTAACTAATGGTGCCAAAATACAGCTTGAGTGTATTGCCCTGGTACTGCATAAAAGATGGCTGTGCTCCATCAGGAAAAGAAAGTCAGCTTTCCATGTTCAATGTGAAGACTAGGAGTGCTAATTAATAAAACTTGAGTAACTCTTTATCTTCCACCCTTTTTAAAAGAGCCAAGGGAGGACAGAAGATTGTTTCTTCTCATGACACAGCACATGAATGTACTTATCTTTAAAAGCAAGGTAGCTAAAGACTACTGGTAGTGGTAGAACAACAGAGCCTAAATACCTTTTTACTTTGCTTATTGTTTGCATGATTGAAGGGCACTCACAAGAATATGTAGGAAGCTAATCCAGATTTAACTTGAAATCAGAGGAGTGTCTGCAATTCCAATAAATTATCTGATATCTCATGGGTATGATACTGTGTTTTAGCTGTATACCAGTAAGTTAATACAAAATGCCAGCATTAGTGCAGGTTGCTTGCTATTTTTTTCTAACAAGTAAAACCCCCAGGTGTTCCCATCACAGCTACCATCAACTCACCAGGAACAACTTTGGCTCCTGAGGGAGGTGGTAATTAGACTGTCAAGAATTAGCAAGAGCAGAAAACCCTTATGGAGCCAGCCCCAGTGTAAATTGGACCACCATTTCTTAATGGCCTATACATGGAATTACTAAGTTTAACCATTTTCTTTCAGAGGAATATGATACTAACTTCAACAGAAAGGAGGAATTTGAACACTGAACTGTTTGGTTATCAGCTGCAGGTTACTCAGATCTAGTCTCACAAGATATCCTAGACTGCAATGTGTATGTTTGACTAGAACATGTAACCCTGTTTTGGTAAGGTAGCTCCTTGTGTTAGGTCAGTGTTGTTGGATTAACTGATTCCTTGTTTGGGTGTTGCTGTTCCAGCTGACTGAGCCATCACCTTACAGGGTGCGAGGGGAACACTGCACTTACCCAACGTCCAACAGCAGACTGCATGGATCTGTGGTGCAGTTTGGATAAAGTGTTCTTGATAGTGTGCCTTGTACACAGAGCCAACTGATATTTTAAAAAAACTTCTATAAAAGAGGCAAAAGTTTTGAAAAAAACAACACACCAAATCAGTCATCAGTGGAAGGAACTACACAATTATCCCAATTAATATAAGTCCAAACTTAAGAATTAGCAGTAGATTTACACTACTTTCTGCAAAGGTGATGGGCTTTTGGCTTGTATCTTGAGCTATGTGCAAGCACCAAGAACCATAGGAGTGAGGAGGTGGTATTTTCTGTCAGGGTGATGTGAGCTTCTTTGGTTCTTGTGGCTGATGCGCCTTGCACTGCAGAACTCACCGAGTCCTCTGGGGCACATTATCATACATATGCTCTGCCCTCAGCCAGTTTCTGCTCAGCTCTTTCATGTGTGCTGTAGCCTCTGCCTTTACCTCTATGTTCTACACAGCAGAAGACCTAATGACCCTTGTTCCAAAGGTCCCTTTTCTGTTGCTGCTCGAGTTGCAGGCACTGCAGAGTCCCCACCCTCACTGCAAACACTTAGCCCATATTCAATATTCATTTTTATGTCCAAAGCAAGGAGGGAAGAATAAATTAGGCAGTAGTAGAAAATGGGGGAAAAAAAGCAATTGTGGCAAAGCTATGGCTTTGAATAAAAAGGACCTGGATCAAATGTCTTCAAGTCATATGATAAAAAAAAAAATCTCAACTGTGTTACTTCCAATCAATCTTTTACTGAAAAAGATGTGTAAACTTTTGGTTTACAAGCAGTGGTTTTACACAGATCAGAATTTTGATAAGATAGTTATGATAACTTTTAGCATCAAAGCTGCTGAATGACTGTCATAAATTGTTAAATGCCTCAGAAAAGTGAAAGTGGAATAGAAGTTACTTTACAGCCATTACAACTCTGTCATTAACAACTGCATTTTATTTTCCTTCTATTTTTATTTGATAAATCTTTTGGTTAAGATCAGATCAGCTTGAACCATGTAACTGAATATAAAAATGTTTCAACCAAAGTATTTATTTACAATTAGGCACAACTTTCCTTATTTTCAGTCAACAGCAATTATCCAGCTGTGGAGGTACCCTTACTGTAACTGAGGTGGGGAGCAGTCCTGGGGGAAGTCTGTCACCAGAGTATCACTACTTCAAACACACAGGATAATAATAAACTGTAGTCAGGATAGATTTTGCAATCTGTTCTATTTTTCCTTCCATTTATGGGTAAAAAAGCCACATGCATGGCTCTTTCAGTCACGAGTGCAAACGGGTATTGCTTTCTGCAGAACATCAGTCAATGACTTAACATTTCTTACTGAATGAACCTGCTCATGGTCTGTAGCCTTCATCCTCATCTTCATCTTCCCACTGAGCTGCTTCTCTAGCCCGCAGAGCAAGCGCCACCGCCTCAGACATGCCCAGCTGGCTGATGGGCTGGGGTGTCTCTGCATCTGTTTTTCACCAACCAACCAATGTTAGCTGTGCTGGTCTTGGTACAATAACCATCCATCCCCTTTAAAAAGCCCTGTGTTATTTTAGTGTCTCATCTGTCAAGCATTTGGAATGAAGTTCCATGTTTGTGCAAACCAAGAATAGTTCAAGCTACCACACAAGTTTCCATTGCTTTTTTTATTCCAGACACACAATGTCCTAGGGACTCTACATCATTAATAACCTCCTCTGAGATTTCATACCAAGATGCAATGTATATTTCTGATGTCATATTCCTGCCTGTGGCTGCTCCCAAAAGACAAAATGGCTCATTTACCCACAGAAATTCAACCCTCTGGTATACAGAAACTTGTGATCAGCCTTCAGAAGTCACCACCACCACAGTAAGCTACCAATTAGTACATCCTACAGAAAGTGTTTACCCAAAAACCCAGCCTTGCTTTCTCTTTACACAAGATGCTAGAATTGTGTGTCACATCCAGCTGCTACATGCTGTGTCTGTACTGAATCAAACATGTTTGCTGAGCTGAGCTGCTATGAGCTGCTTTCCAAGTACAGCATTTGTTGCTTACCTAATGGGAAGCCACTCTCCGGAATGATCCCCGTAGAGTAGGGATCCTGAAAACAAAATTCACAAGTAGATTTAGACTGATTTCCTTCCTTTGCCTGTTACCTTTTATGTAAAAAGATACCAGTTACAGGTAACAAAAACACTCTCCAAATCGTAAGCAGATTTGGGAGTCTGAGTATTCCAACAGCTATTCTGATAACAGTTTTGTATCTGTGCAAATTAATCTTTAAAAATATTCCTATACATAGAGGATGACTTCTTACTTCAACATACACTCATTGTCTAGATGATGCCCCAGGTTCTACATAGGGAAATCAAGCAGAGACTTCCTTTCTTTTGACCATCTTACCTCATATAATGCATTTTGGTTTCCACCAAATGCCCTTCCTCGGTTGCCCGGGCGTCGCCGGGCGGAGCGTCGGGATGAGCGGTATGAAAGGGCTCTTCTCTGAAAGACAGAATATTTGGCATTTGCAGTCCTGTATTCTGGCTCCAGTCAGGACTTCATGGTTAGTGTCACACCCAAGGCTACTACCCTTGTTTTAGGGAGATGGGTCTTCTACTAGAACCACAATGAGATTATTTTGGCATCTCTTTCTGAAATATTACTTTAACAACTGCAAGAATAGCCACATTTTATGGGGTCTGAAACCCTCCCTTCAGGATTCCCACTTGTGATGATGGACAAGGCCACCAGGTTGTCTAGTGTGTGAAAAGCCCGAGCACACCCAAGATGCCCATTCACTTTAAGCTCCATCTTTACAGTAAATATTTTTTTAGATTAACATATATGTATATTCATCAATATATTGATTATTAACATTGTTTATTTATATCTCTTATCGTATTAGTGATGGGCAGTTATACTGGAGGCCCAGGGGGTGAAGCAGCCTCCTTTTCTTAGTCTAGGCAAGGTTCAGGTGTGGACAAACCCTTTAGTATCCCTGCACACCCATATTAGGAATGTTTTCTGGCAGTTTCATAATATTACATGACTAGTGAGGGTTAGGGCTTCTCTCTGTCTTTCCCAGGTTAAATTCCACTCTGGAACAAATGGAGTATTTCCACGGTATCCTTTCGCTGTCTGCAGTTAACTAGTAATCAATCAACTTGGGTGAAATTTTAAATATCCCAAAATGGCAGCCTATTTGCCAGGCTAAAGGAAACCCACAAAATCATACCAAGCACATAATTCAAACAGCAGCATCAGAACTATCAAACTGACCTGCTGCTGTTGTCTTCTTGGCTCAGCTGTGTTTTGGTTTGCCCTCTGCAGTGCCCGTAGTTTTTCAATTAAAAACATTTTATCTTTTCCTTCCTATGGTCAAGAGATATTTGATCATTAGCTGGAATGGACAAATGATTCTTGAAATTCCTTTTATTCTGAAATTGTCTACAGAAGGAGCTACAGCAGCACAGCTTAAAGGTAAGATTAATTTGCAACAACTCTGTTTGTGAGTTAAATTTCCCTGCAATTCCCATGAGGAAAGGCTCCCACCCTCCCTTATACTGTCAAAGGAAAAACAGATGACAGCTCCACAATAGCAGAATGACACAATCAACGAGGAAGCCAAATTTAAATAAATACATAGATAAAGTGGAAAGTCAAGCTTACATTAATAATTTGCTTATGTAAGAGTTTGGTCGCAGTCTTTCTTCCTTCTATTATTTGCGAGTAAATATAAGTAATAACTCTAAACAGAAAAGACAAAAAAAAATTCAACATGAGCACTCAGACCCATGAGCACTTCCTCCTTGTCATTGCCTAAACAAAGCTATCTTGCTTATTTTATCTATTAAAAGATATACACAGTTACATCTATATACACACATCTATATGGATACATATATAAGAAAGTAGGCATGTAGTTACACAAGGAATGGCAAACACATGAAATTGCTAAACACAGTCTCTTGGAAAAGACCCAGAGATTTATGGACTTGTATTCCATATGAGAGGGACAATTAAAATAAGTCAAGAATACAAGGTGCAATTTGGATAATAAATAGTAACGTAATAGTAATCTTTAGTAACCTAAAACCTCTTATTTAACATTTGCCTGGACCTTAAATCCCAACACTAAGCAGTTATTGCTTCCAGGCCAATCCTGGTCCCACTAGAATGAGTGGGATCCTGTTTTACATGAGCAGGTTTGGGCCCTTACGTGTGTGTGGCCAAGCTAGAAATACCAAGCACAGCTACAACACCCAACCCTACCAGTGAGCACAGAGCATAATAAGCATATCCTGTTTTTTCCTCAGCCAAGGGGGCAGTATGTGCATGTACCAGAGATGAGCTGGGATCAGAATGCAACCTCCTTAAGAGCTCTTCCCCATGTGGTGTGCTCACTTAAACCAGGCTGCTTGTGCACTACCATGCCCTTCCACTGCAGCATCCCTGGGGTAGTTCAGCTCTTCTTTACACAGAATCATCTCCTCTAATGACTCCACCAATGAGAAATGGTCAGAAAAGACAAACCAACCACCTCCCAAATGTCTGCATTTTGTCAGAATACAGCTGGCCTGTACCACCTGTGCTTGTGA